ATTAATCATGATTAATTCACAACTACTTTGGGATTAATCAGATTTAAAATATTAATCATTTGGCAGCCCTGGTTTCCATACATGTCAAGTTGTACGGATTATTCCTAATTTACACGGATTTTCCATCATTTTGCAGGTATACGGACGTATAGAGCAATCTCAAAGATTTTTCATGTTTTACGGATTTTTTTCAAAAACTCAGTTTCAAATATATTTAACACACAGAGCCTGTGGGACGTTAAAAAAACAGTAACATTAAATATCCATATCCAACCCACTCTGCTGCTAGAAATAAGTCCTTCCGTCCTCATTTCTTTCTGATTTGCTGCAGCCGATAGTCCGCCTGCACCCGCCCCTTCCCCTCCAAGGTTAGGGTTAAACCCCCGCTTAATCACTTTTTAACAAAGCACTGCAAAAATGTTCCATCCGTATCTGTTTCTACTGTTCTTATTATGTCATTTTTATGTCACACTGACATTTATGAATCAAAATGTGCAGCAACGGCGCAGTTTACAAACCTGATCATGTTCTCGGCGCTAACACCGGCCCTACCTTTGGTCTTCCTCCGGCGTGTTGGCAGACAACAGCGACATAATTGTAGATTTCCCGGTTCCCTGCAGCCCAATCACTCCCACCACCAACATGTCTGTCTGGTCCCTCAAATACTGCAGCACATTCCAACAAACACAACATTTCTTAATGCACCAACCTGTACAGTTTATAAACAAATCATATGGTGTCAGTTAACTGAACTCATTAAAAACAGCAACTGACCTCCATGGCACTGTCACACCAGTTCATCTGATCATCCACAAGCTTGATGCTGTGCTTCATTTTCTCTGGATGAAGGAGTTTAGACTGACCAACCATGGCTGGAAAACAAAGGATTTATTTATTTAAAAAATACATTTTTTTATTTGATAGAGACAGAGAGTAAAAATATACTGTTGGTCCATACTTATACCACATACAAAACATTTTATATAGCTTTTCCCATTATCTCACACACACACATTGTCTTCGATTATACAGCTTACACATTACAGAAGTACATTTGCGTTTCATTCAACATGAATAAGCACATGTTGGAGAAATGTGGGGTTTCTGTGATTAATCGAGRATACTTCATCACGCAGCAGGGAGTGGGAATCCAAACCCTCGACCCTGTGATTTGAGGACGCCCTCCTAACCGCTGCGTCAAGTCGTATATAAAATTTATAACAACTCACGATCAACAACACTGCCAGAAGCAGATGGACCCATTCCTCGGTTTTGGATCTGGTACACAGGTTGAGTAGGCCGTTGACCCTCCTTCTCCATCTTAGAGGGACCAGGACCAGCAGACTGGGCTGCTGCCTCTGGCAATGTCCCCGGCTTCCCTGCATCATCCCTGGCTTTCATTAGCATGATGGGCTTTTCCAGGACTGGAGCTCCACTGGCGGGTGCATTCTGTGATGGTTTGGCCTTAGAAAAGAGCCATCAAACAGGATTAAATCATTCTCTAAATCAATCAAGTAACAGAAAAAAAAAGAACTTCTGCTTAACTTTACTCAGGTTTCAAGTAATCTGTAACTGTAAACGTGATCTATCACTGATTTGACTGCGTTCTTRTTTGTAGTAAACATAAACAGTTGCAGAAAATGATTATGGCACAAACTACGTACCCTCTCCGCTGGAGGCTTTGCAAGGATAATAGGCGTCTTCTGAATGAGAGGGCCTGGAGGATCCTCGCTCCCATCCTGACGCAGAAATATATTATTAATACATTAGTCAAGCATCATGCATCAACTATAATTGAAGGACAACGTTTAGAAATAATGTTTCTTTTTCCCGTTTTAAATAAGAGAATCAGACAGTCAATGCTAGCATTTTTGTTAATTCGAGTCCTGTTCGTATCACCCTTCGTTCTCTCGGTTGATATTCCCGATCTCGACTGGGTCCGGACAGATTTTGTCCCGGAGGTCCATCTCTTTCTCCCCGACGTCGTCTCCTTCTGCGTCCCTGCCCATACATGCCGGGCTGACTGTGGCCGGACTCTGACATGTCGCAAAGAAAGTGGTTTATAACTGATATAAACCGAGTACTGACTGCTGAGACGCAATTAAATCCAATTACAGAAAGCTCGAAGTGATGTTGAACAGACTGTAAACAGCGCTGGCGACGAGCTTCCTGGTTAGCGCTTGTTCTTAAATTTGGCACTGACCGTTGAACTACAACGAACCGCTGACACGTTGGGCAAAACAGTGTTTAGCACGTACCCGCCCACCTAAAAATCTTTATGAATTAAACAAACGCATCTTGTCCGGATAGCAAAAACGCTCGTTCAGGAACTCTATAACACATTAGTAG